ATATGTTGGAACAGTCTCTATTCTAAAAAAAAAAAACCCAGCATTTGCATCTTTTCTGCACCTTTTCACACTTTCCTTGAAAAGAAAAGCCTTCAGGGCCAGTTTCATCTGAATTTTGGACTGTGTTTGGCCTCAGGTTCTTCACAAACCCCAGCTGAAAGCAAGGGCTCATAGGTCAAGTGTCTGCCTCCAAAGTGTTCAAAGCCATGGCTCAAGGTCTCAGGAAGCAAGTATCTCCATTTCAGACTGATTTCAGCTCCCAGTTCAAGTTGTCACCCAGGGACTGAGCTCTGGTGCACAAACTAGCAGCAAAACCAGCCACTTAGTTTGCTGAATATGTATCTATTTCCCAGCCAAAAGCACTTAAGACTTCAGCAGAAACCCCAGAAGGAAATAGGTGAATACACTGAAATGGTAGCTATTGCCCAACATCCCACAGATGCCTGATTAAAAACAGAAAGCCTACACAAAAAGTCATTGAGGCAGTGCAGTGAATCCTCCATACATCTCAACAGAGGGAAAAGCAATTTCCTCTCCCTTATGTACTTGCTCCTCCTAATGTTTCTGAAAGATACCGCTGACTAAGAGAGCAGCCAGGGCTATGCAAACTGGGGTGGCATATAGAACCCATGCCTTCAGCTGAGGAAACCTGGCAGAGCACCAAAGCTTTCCATCACTTATGACAGCCTCACATTTTGGAAATATGGAGGGGCTGGACCAGCCATTTGGAGAAACCAATTAATTCACCCCCATTGAGTAACTTGTGAAGAGCAATCTCCTCTTCTCTCCCACAGGAGCAGCTGGAGAGCCTGGCTTCCCAGGACCTAAAGGTAAATAGTGCTGAAATGAACTTAGGTTCGGGGCCTGTTTAGTTAAACTTCCACAGTATGATCTTCTCTAAGATCACAAAGGAATTGCATGCTGTTTGGGAACAATACACAAAAGAGAGTAACAATAAATAAATGCAAATACTCACTGGGTACTGCATGGGGCTGTTTGAAGATACTTGTCCTCCATGCATAGGACCTGGGGTGCTGAAGCACCTTGAGGAGGCATTCAATGAGGCTCAGCCCCAGCTGAGGCAGTGTGAGAAACCCATCTCCACCAAACCAGCTGTAAGGCCACAGGGGTCCAAGAGCCAGGGCTGCCTGATGCTGCTGCTGCCTACCACTGCCACCTACCAAAACCACAGGGCATCACACATACCAGCCTGAGGGACTACCTAGACTAGGGTAGACCATTCACCTTACCGTGCTATGTCAAAAGGCAGAATCACAGAATCACAGAATGGCCTACCAAAACCACAGGGCATCACACATACCAGCCTGAGGGACTACCTAGACTAGGGTAGACCATTCACCTTACCGTGCTATGTCAAAAGGCAGAATCACAGAATCACAGAATGGTCTAGGGTGGAAGGGACCTCCGGAGATCATCTAGTCCAACCTCCCTGCTCAAGCAGGGTCCTCTAGAGCATATTGCCCAGGATCGCGTCCAGGCGGGTTTTGGATATCTCCAGCGAAGGAGACTCCACTACCTCTCTGGGCAACCTGTCCCAGTGCTCTGTCACCCTCACAGTCAAGAAGGTTTTTCTCAGGTTCAGACGGAACTTCCTGTGGTTCAGTTTCTGCCCGTTGCCTCTTGTCCTGTTGCTGGGCACCACGGAGAAGGGTCTGGCTCCATCCTCTTGACACCCTCCCTTTAGATACTTGCAGACATTGATGAGATCGCCTCTCAGTCTTCTCTTCTCCAGGCTCAACAGGCCCTGCTCTCTCAGCCTTTCTTCATAGCAGAGATGCTCCAGTCCCCTAGTCATCTTTGTAGCCCTCCGCTGCACTCTCTCCAGTAGTGCCATGTGCTCCCCAGTGCTTGTACCGGGCAGGCCAGAATTGGACACAGCACTCCAGATGTGGTCTCACCAGGGCTGAGCGGAGGGGGAGGATCACCTCCCTCGACCTGCTGGCCACACTCCGCCTAATGCACCCCAGGAGACCATTGGCCTTCTTGGCCACAAGGGCACACTGCTGGCTCACGCTCAACTTGTTGTCCACCAGCACTCCCAGGTCCTTCTCTGCAGAGCTGCTCTCCAGCAGGTCAGCCCCCCAACCTGCACTGCTGCATGGCGTTATTCCTCCCCAGGGGCAGGACCCTGCCCTTCCCTTTGTTGACCTTCATGAGGTTCCTCTCCGCCCAGCTCTCCAGCCT